AATTCATCAATTAAAACAGACAGTATATGTTGAATCAAGTTAAATAGTAACTACCACTCAAATTATCCAAAATGTTCCTGCCTCTTCATTCCAATTTGTCTTTCTTTGTCAGCACAGATGAAGAGTTGCTAGTTTAGGAAAAAAAAGGAGCATTTTTAGAAAAAAAGAAGCATTTTGTTCATGCTCTCTGGTTGGATAAAATATGACTGGATGCACAGAGATTTGTGGGAGGAGCAGAATTTGTGTTCTAAACCAGAGAAAGCTAATGAAAGTTAATATTGAGTACAAGAGAAATTCCATAAAAGGTCCTGGTAGTTAGCAACTGTTCCCCATCCGAAGCACTGAGAACCAGACTTTCTGTGACAGGAGATTTTTAGTTTTCATTGGTTTCTCCTTTTAACTGAGCTGTACTGTAAGCAAACAATTTCAAAGGCAGCAAGACCTGAGTGTGGTTTACTGGGGGACTACAAAATGGGCTGACTTACCCATTTTTCTATCACATTACTCCTCGGATCATTTCCTATATTCCTTCATCTCTACCTCCACACGTGTTCTGATGTTAGAGGTTCGTCTCAACCAAGGATGAGTGTTCTCCAATGTAATACTCTCCCATTCTCTCTAGCTAGTTCCCACTGCTGACTTTTTGAAGTCTGCCAACCATGCCATCATTCATTCTCCTGGTCATTAGATTTAAAACCCAGTTTCCCTCTTTTTTCTCTCATTCCTTTCCTATTTCTGCTGTTGTCTACTCTACTTTTACCTCTATGTGGTAATCCTGCCTAGGTTTCTAAAGTCTACCTAATGTTGTAGACTCTGCAGACTGACATGATTTTCCCACTTAGTTTTTTAGCCATAATATGTCGCTGCAAAGCCATTACTCTTTCCATGACAGCCTTCTGATCTACCACAGTCCTAGATTTCAGGTTTTACCATTATTACGGTGCCAGTTCCAACTGCCAAGTATGGAACAGATCTGATGACTTTTTTCTGATCCTTTACCAAATTCCCTCCCCCTTCCTTTCCAATGATTCAAATCTTACATATTTCCATGCTCAACTTGGAAACTCTCCTTTTATAATATTCCTCTGCTAACTCACATCTCTAAATGTACTATAATTATAGTAGTCAATGTTGAGTAAGCTTAAAAAGCAGACTATGCCAAAGAAAGTGGGCTGAGCTACATGGAATTCTGCTTAAGGGACAAATACTTTATAGGAGTCTGCATTCCCTTAGCATAAAGAGCCCTGGCTTGGTTTTTATGTAGTTCCTTTTACAGGGCCTTTATGGGTAATAGCATCACGGATTTTTTTTTTTCATTTTGTTATATAGGATTAGTGCCAAGAGCAGAGTTAAAGCAGAATTCTTCACCCTTCTCTTGTTTATTATGTAGTACCAACACAACACGGGACAGCCCTGATTTGGTGTGGGGCTGCTGCTTCCTAGAAATCACATATGGCTATTAGTATCCTTGGTACAAAACATGTGAGGTAAGACACATTTTTCACACAAGAGACTAATTTCCTACAAGAGCAAGAAAACACTAGCTAGGATCCCAGAAATGTCAAAAAGCTTTCCTGCTTTTTCCTCTCGATAAAAGGCCCTCAATGCTTATTATAGGATAGGAACTATTCCAGTGAAGGTTAAGAGTGGCAAAGAGGTCATCATGGATATTTTTAGTCTACATAAATTTGGGGTACATATCCTTTTTGAGTTCATCTTGAGTCATCACATTCAATTCTCTATGGTACAGTGGACATTGCGAGGTATCCATATTTGGAAAGATTCCATAAGCCATGCTGATGCCTCAATGCCTACTGCTACTAAGACAGAAGCAGAGTCTATCAGGGCAAACACTTGTTAACATTTTGTATATATTATTTTGTATTGTGAATTTTCCTTTTTCTTTTTGTTGTATTTCCCCATTTATCTAGTAACTGACATAGCTTTTTATTTTTCTATACATCCTACTTAATATCTAAAGCTCAAGGACCTGCACATAGTATTTATTATTTTAACTAGTGAATTAAAAAAACCCACAAGCATCTATTTTGGAAGTGCATTAACTTAAAAGATGCAAATCTGATGATCTAACAAACTGAGAAATTCCAAATCTTCTTCCTTGTAGCTCAGGTAGACCTCTGATGCAGCCAACAGAAATTATTATGGGAGAAGACATCAGACATGGTATTTCACATAGTTTAGCATGTGTATTATCCAGATACACATGATAAGGATAAATGAGAGGGATCATTTAACACTTCTGGAACACTAAGTGCAGTGTGAAAACAAGAGAAGTGCTACTTAAAAAAAAAGTGAAGTAAAGAAGTAAAGTGGGTAACTCTCTTTTCCTATGCACGTACTCACAACTAATAATTATGGGCCTCTGCTGACCACTCGGGCACACTGGGATTCACTAGAAACAATGAGCCCTCCATAGTAGACACTCATTTCTAGTCATTTCTAAGGAACAGACATGAGTCTAATCTGCTTATAGAGACTTGCTCCCAATTAAGAACACAAGCAGAGCTGACTTTTAAAACCTGAGGGCCACTGGTCATTTGGGCTCTGAAAATACTGTGACATCCACATTTTAATCAGAATTATACGTATACTGATGAACCCACTAACTTCTTGATCAGTTTTCTTTTCATTGCAGACCTGCCAGTAATTTTCCTTTTATTGAAATTATTTTTATAGGGATCAACTATGTCTCATTTGCATTTTTAAGAAGATTTATTCATTCATAGGTTTTAATGTCCACTTTAACTTTGCCAAGTGCTGCTCCAGCTATTTCCATTTTTCTTTGTGATTATATTTCTTTCAATACGATTTCTTTCAATTTCTGTCCATATGGTGCAGATCTACATTTGTGAGGCAGAGAGTCTCAGGAAGAAAAGACAGTGTCAGAGAGTGAAAGAAAAAAGAAATAGAAAGAGGCAAAGAGAAGAAAAAACAAACAAAGAAAAAAAACAGGCTGCGGCTATTCTGGAATCTTGACCTCAAAGGACAAGGATACACAGCAGAGTCAAAATATCCCTGGACTTTATCTTGAGGAGAAGAAGGTAATTATGGCACCAGCACAGAAGTTGGGGAAATCAAGCTGTCCCAAGAATAGTATGCAGAAATCTAATCATGGGGCTGCTTGGTCACTGTAATCTGAATTTGTGGATCATATGGATGGGCCTTTTGCACAGGTTCTCACACTGAAGTGCCTGTTTTTGCTTCTCTACTAGAGTGGTTTTCAAAGTGTGGTTCACCGAACTCTGGGGGAAGTCCCTGATGTAAAAACTATTTTTATAATAATAACAACAACAAAAACAATAATACTCTGTTGGCATTTGCACTGATGAAGCAAAAATAAGAGTGAATAAAATGACTGACTTGTTACCATAGAATCAAAGCCCTGATCCCAAGCTGTACTAATGGCCACTGTAGTTTCACCACCACACACTTATAATAAAAAGTTGTCACTTGCATGTAAGAATGTCCTTGATGAACAGTAAAAGAATATTAATTTTATTAAATGTCAACCCTTGAGCATATGTTTTTTTAATCCTCTGTGTGACCAAGCGGCAAGTATACATAAAACAAGTCTGCTGCATCCTGAACTGTGATGGTTGTTCTAAAAAAATGTGCTTGTGCAATTGTTTGAGGAGCGAGTTAAACCACCCACTTTTTCATGAAACATTGTATTTTCTTGGAAGAATGATGGACACACTATGGTTACCCTGACTTAGTAACGTGGTACACATTTTCTCTAAAATGAGTGAAGTGAGGCTGTCCTGCCAGCCACTTCACGGAAAACATCTGATCACTGTGTGGCTGATGATAAAATTTATACTTTAAAGTGAAAATTAGATTTCTGGAAAAGTTGCATCTACTACCTTGACAGCATCCCAGTATTTAAACATTTTTCTGATGAGAATGCTGTGATTTGAACAAATGTGAACTTTTTAGTATTGTGTGTTGAAATGTGGCAATCTTTTGAAGATCTGCATAATCCAGTATTTTCCATATGGATCAATGCGTGGCACTGCGAACCATAAATGTATAAAATCCATTTAATGTGCAAGACAGATCAATGGATTTTAATATAACAGTATGAAAAGCCCATTGAAATAGTTTCAGATTTCACATGATACTAATCTTTAAAAAGAAACTACTACTCATTAACTTTAGTGTAGTACAAAGAAAATTTGCAATTATATGAAATGGTTATTAAAAACTCCTCCCTTTTTCAAATAGAGATGTCTATGTGGCCATATTTTCTTCACACATTTCAACCAAAACAGCATATTGCAACACATATAATACAGAAGCAAATATTAAGCTCGATAGTAAAGGGATTTGCAAAAATGTAAAACAGTGCTGCTATTCTTATTAAAATTTTTAAAAGACAGTTCATTTTCATAAAATATACAGCATGTGTATTTATGTGTAAAATATACAACATAAAAATTATTGTTGAAAAGGTATGTTAAAAGTCCCAAGTAGTTATACCTCTTATCAAATTTCATTAATTAATTATGTTATCAATTAATACAGTGATAACTCAAAATAAACCCAAGCTCTTTAGGGTACTCAATTTTATTTTTTTTTATTTTTTATTTTTCTGGTGGGTACTCAATTTTAACAAGTAAAGGAGTCCTAAGACCAAAAGGTTGGACAAGCATTGCTCCCCCCATGATGAATAAATCTTGGAGTAACATTTCTCAGTGTTTTAATAAACTCATCTCACAAAGTGATTCATAATCAAAAGGATCCACTCTGGAATGAGTGTGAAAAATATGGAGAATCATAACAAAGGCCATTCTTAGAGAGTGGTAGTACTTATCAGCCTGTTAGGGACTCAGAGAGGTATTGCTATAGAGCATCTGTTTCATCTTATTTAAAGCCAGTGTTTCTTTATGTTGTCTTAGGAAGTTTGTATGTGCAAAACACGTTGGGCACCTGATCTTAGAGGAGGGGTACTGGCACCGTGGAAATCTATCATAACTCACCTTCCAGCCGGACCACCAGAGGCACCTTGAGTTCCAGCTCTTGACAGGCTTTGGTGATCCCATTGGCAATAATGGCACAGTTGACAATTCCAGCAAAAATATTGACAAGGATGGCTTCCACCTGAAATAAAAAATAGGAAGGTGCCCATCAAAACGCTGTTAGCCGACATTCTCAAAAATAACTGCCTAAGTAATAGAGATGATTAGAATAAGACTCCTTGTTGTTATTGTTTTTAACACAGCATATGAATTACAAAAGGCCCACAAAATGTCAAAAAAGTTAAAATTTAGTACTGAATTACTAAATAGCAATATAAAGCCTTACCATATTAACTCATATTCTCCCATCACTCACTTCTGGGAACTCAAAATGAAATCAATCACTACTCATTTATTACATATTCTATTCTGGCTTTTTATATATAATTGTCTAGAATTGTTCCTCTATGAGTAGTGTCATTTAAAATTTTATGCACTTATTTCTTTCCCTCCCTCATGCTTTACACTGAAATTTTTATCTGTCATAAGTGCCTTATGGAATGTTTCAAAAGTAGGAACTTAGTGAAGTGATTCTTTGTTGTTTTACATTAGTAGTAAAGATTCAAGCTTTTCCATCCTTCCTTAATACCTCTTTGATATGCTAGAGGTAGATTCTCAAAATCCAGAAATAGTTTAATTATCTTAGATAACAACCTTTTTTGATTAAAAAAAAACGAGCCCCAAAAGAATGATATACATGATATACAAGCTCATACCACAAGTAAGGATCTGAGGAAAGTCAAGTCAGTGACTGGAATTTTTCAGAAATGTAAATTTAAACCCATCATCTGAACCTGTTTATATGCATTCCATATTCAAAGGCATGTGGACAAAAAAAAAAAAAAGATTCATCCTGACTTGATAAATGGGTATAAGAAAATCCTGTATAATTAACATGAAGAACAAGATAATGAAGAGAATTCATTACCTAGATTAATTGATAACACCCCCAGAAAATGGCTATTCATCAAGCTAGAGTTATCAAAATTCTAACGATGGCATCACAATTATATTAGGGTACACTAAAGCATGTATGTGTGTGCTGCATGCCATTTTAAAATCCTGTTATTTCACTATGCTAAATGAAATACACAAAACATATGAGGAGGGACACCTGGGTGGATCAGCCAGTTAAGTATCCAACTTTTTGGTTGTTTCAGCTCAGGTTGTGATCTCATGGGTCGTGAGATTGAGCCTTGCATTGGGCTCCATACTCAGTGTGGAGTCTGCTTAGAGAGTCTCTCTGTCTGCTTCTTCCTCTACTCTCTCTCTCAATTAATCTTTAAAAAAATATGAGAAAAGAATGCCTTATATTGTTCTGCACTTCACTGTTTCAGAAAGTACCCATTGCATGAACCCTTATTTTAAATTTTGATTTTTGCCTGAACTCCATTGAGGAAGCACAGTAAAGATTAGCTTTCTGTAGCTGAAACACCTACACAGAGAATTCACATGATGTGCTCTGAGGTTACATAGCTAACATGTTTCAGTGAGGTTCAAAGTCAGTTCTTTAGTCTGCCTGCTGATTCTTCATTCATGTCAGATACTAGCATGGGCATCCTGGGCAAATTATATACCCTGTTCCAAACATGGTTTCCTCATCTAAAAAACAGAGTAACAGGATCTAGTCCATAAAGGTTGCTGAAAGGCCTAAATGAGATAATACACGTGAAATGCTTGTAAAATACTTAATGGTAATTTTATATATGTGTTTATTTCAACAAGCAATGATGAAAGAGGAGAGGTTACCTAGACAGCATGTTAGAAGTAAGAAAACCTCTTTACTACAGCTATATTGAATTAGAACAGAATAGAGGCACAAACTTAGCAAAGCTCAATAGAAAGGTAATGTCTTAAGAATAAAATAAATGAGCAATATTTTTCAAGCCAATTAAAGATTGGGGCCACTCCCCAAACAGAAACCTCCCATTACTATTCACAGCAGGCTGACTGGTAAGCAGAAGCTTGCTTTCTAATGACAGCTATTAAATGCTGTTAGCACTGAGGCTTCGTACAGCAGCAGTTTCCAAATAGCTGTGGGATGGAGAGGAATTTGCCAAAACAATGGAATAAAAAACACTCAAGAGCAATAATGACTCCACGGTGTCCAAGAGAAAAACTCAGGAACTGCTGAGGCTCACTTGGGTTTGTGCAGAGAGCTAAGCTTTTCTGGTAAAGTACACACTGGCACCTGTACACCTTGCCACATTTCAACCTGCACATTCTTTAAGGAAGAATTCAGATGTCAACAATTTCTTGCCTCATCAAGTTAGGGTGAATTGCTTGGTTTCATCTATCTTAAGGTAGTTATATCACACAAAGAAACTTATGTGAATTCACCCAAAAAGGCAGGAGTAAGGGAGCAGGAAGAAGGGAAGATCCCCACGACCCCATGACTCAATCCTGTTTACTGGGTGCCTGCCCTGCAGTGAGTGTCAAATGTGAGCTCTGGATTTGGCAGTACTTAGTTCCCATGAGGCTCTCATATGTCAGTATCTCATACTGTTGAATGAACATCTGGCATTAAAAATACTCTTCATTTAACAACTTGTACCTAAAAGTAAGCCAACCACATGCACGGGTGCAGAACCCAAGGAAAAGCCTTTTTATCCAACAGTGGAGGAATGATTAGTTAGTTGCCTTTGTTAGACTCACTGAGAAATGGACTACTGTTCTTCTATGGAGTTTATTCACCTCTCATCCTGTATCCCCAGCCCCAGTATACAACTCCCCTGTGGGGATCGCTTCTGTGCTCCTCCAAAATAGGGCCATGTAGTTTTTCCATATGCAGCTAGCACAATCCATGACATGGCATAATCATCTAATAAATAGTGGTTTCAAGAGTAAATGAATCAAATTAATTTCAATAGATGCTTAATGACCATCTTCCTTATAGCAGGTACAGACTTAAGAGCTTAGGATATGGAGATGAATAAGATATCACCACTATCCTCAAGGAATTCAAAGACCAGTTTGAAAGCCAGACGAGTAAGCTGGTGGTGACAATTCAAAGTGTACAGATGCCTCACAGAACTAACACCAGGGCAGGACCATCGATGTAGACTGCTATCATGTGAGAGGCTTTTTGGAAGAGGTGATGTTTTAGGTCAACAAAGAAAGGGAAAGAGCAGGAAGTCAGGTAGCAGAGAGCAGCCAGGATGCAGGTAGAGCAGTCACCCAACTTAGTTCATTTGAGACCTACAAACTAAATGTGAAGTAACCCAAGATGGTACGGGTTACAGAGTTGCAGGTGCCAGAAGCCAGGGATGGGACCTTGGCTCTTTTTGCTTATTCCTCCCCTTTCCAGAGCTGGGTAAAGGCAAGTGTTGAAAGCAGCCTCCCTCGGCATGGGCTAGAGGAACAGTAACGGAAGATGCCAGGAGGGACAGAGAAGATGAAGAGGGAGCACTTGAGCAAATGTGAGCTGAGAAATACAGCCCATATGAGAGCATAGAGAGGGAGGGAGGGAGAGAGAAAGTGGGGGAGAATGCAAAAGGGAGAGAAAGAGAAGAAAGAGAGTTTAACCAATACTAACAATACAGTTAGGACTTTTATAACAACAAGGCACATGGGTACTCATAGGCTGCTTAGCTCAGGGAGAGGGGATTGTTTAGAAGCCATGCTGTGCCACAGCGCACTGAGAGGAAAATTACCACCGGGCTGGAAGGCAGACCCCACTCCATCAGAGATGATGCCACACTCTTCCACTATAAAGTAATTTGCTGCAGTCATGCACTTTAGTGGAAATCTGATTTAAGGTTTCACTCTGGGCCAATTTCTATAATTAACAACTGTAATCTGCGATCTCAAACTGAGAATGAAATTAAGATGGTCTGAAAATGAAAGCCTCGTGACATCATTATTATTATTTGGCATTTATAAAGCATGTCCAATTTTCAATGTGTGCCTCACGTGTCCATTTGTTATTACAATCACTAATTGTTGTTTCATGACAATGCCAATAGCAACTTTAAGTAGCCTTCTTGTTTTGTTTGGTTTTCCTGGCAAAAAGAATGTTAAAAAAAAAAAAAAAGTTAGTGGTTAGGTCTATTTAAGTACCAAGAGACTTTCCCGGAAGATTCCTAAGTGCTTTTACGAACAGGCTTTTCCAAATTCTCAGGTGAGAATTGCAAGGGTTGCTATTTACAGTTTCAGAAAAGTTAAAGATCATCTAGTGAGGCAGATCCGGTGCCAGATACACTGCACAGGTCCCCAGGCCCCAGACGGCGACTCCCACGGCGAGGTCTGCGGCGGCTCTTGGCAGCCATACAGGTCGTCGGGCAGGCCAAATGCAGGTTTCTCAAGTGTCTGTGTGTATTTTGCTTTGCAAAATATACTCTGGCTGCAGATTTTAGCCCACAATTAAAAGTAAAGAGTGAAATTCAAAAGAAGAAAAGCTATATAGCCTTTGATATTTATCAAGCTCCTTTCGACCCCAAATAAATCAACCAACAGAATCAGTACTAAAACCCTTTTTGGCAAAATAATCTTTTTGAGTGTCTGAAGAACATAAGGGAAGCCCAGACAGATAAACTCACACACACAATTATATTTTTGGATAATTTTAGGTAAGTCCTACAACCAAACTCTTCTTTGGGATTTGGTCCCAAAGGCAGCTAATGGTAAAGGATAACATATAGCCTATGTCTGTACAGTGAAGAGTAGGAGTTTCAGGGGAATTGTGAGTTCTTTGCAACTATTTACAATATACTGTTTGAAAGTGTATTGAATGTGTACTTTTCTGGGAAAAGTGTCCATAAGAAATTGAGAGTAATAATTACAAACAATAGCTAATGTTTACCAGGCATTCAGTAGATAGGAGATGGGATTCTAATTATTTTACATATTTCAACACGTTTAACAAATGACTAGTATATGAGGTGGGCATAATTATTTTTCCCAGATAAGGACACTGAAGGTACTAAAGATTTGGAGAATCACTGGAGCTATGACTTTATCTACTATCAAGGATCTTTCAGAGCTAGCAAACCTATAGAGGGGCTACAATATACCATGTTTACTATTTCACCCATTCATTGCCACAGCTGACTTCACCACAAGCATGGGAAGTAAGGACTACCT